TTTATAACATTGTAGTCAGTGATTGATAATGATTTAAGATAATAGTAAGTAATATAATACATTAATTCAAATCTAAGACTATTATTTTCTTGTATGAATAAAAATACAAATTATATCCTTTCCCTCACACTATATAAAAAAAAAAAAATCTTTATCTTAATTTATAAAATTATTGATTTTTAATATATATTTTTCCTGATTTTGGGGGGGGGGGCTTAACTTCCAAATCTCCCCTTGGATCTGCCACTGGTTGCCACATATTGCCGTCTGGCCACCGCTGGCTGCTGTCGTACTCCAAGCCTCATTCACCGTTGATTACCATCCATCGCATGACTCGGCTAGACAAAGATAGAACGGTGGCATAGAATGTGTTCTCTCATTGAATAAATATAATTCTTAAAAACTTTCAATCCTATGATACCAACAATATGAAAGCAAGTGTTTTGAATTAAGAATACTAGCATGATCACAGGTAACGAATTTAACACACAGTTTGAGACACATAAGTGGTAGGATTTATAACGAACTACGAAATGCACGGGTCTACTATTTAAGAATATTTATTTCAAATTCTACATAATGCGAGACAAAAAAACAAAGAAGAGAAAAGTATATTAGTTTACAACGGTTAGATTCGTAGACAAGACAGATAGAATGGAAATAAAATCATTTGAAGATGGATTATGGTTTATTGTCGGGGAAGTACCATAAAAAATAATCTTACCTACGTCCGAAGATTTTTAAAACAGACTACCTAATGAATACTTTTCTACATAATATTCTTTATGATATTCTACTTATACAAGGTATAGCCTAGGATTTTAATTTAGCGCTGACTTGCCTTGCGCTCAATTGTTGTAAAAACTATATTTTCGTTCACCAAAATGTCTTATGCGCCAGATTGTGGCACGTTAAAATGCCGTAGAACCGTTCGAACGTTTTAATAAACTGGAAAAAACCAGATATACGACAACGAGAACTCGGCGGAATCGACATACGTCGAAATTACGTTGTTTTCTTTCAAATTTCTCATCGTCGCACCGATCCACACCGGTAGGCAAGTGCGTGTATTATAAATATTTTTTTTATTATTATGATATTCTATCAGAAACAACGTGCACTGTTGATTAGTTCATTAAATAATTAATCTTTTTCTGTTCAAACCGTCTGTTCCGAGATGATTAAAAATTGATTATCCGTCCAGTGGATCTAGAGTTTTTGACAAGAAAAAAATGCCAATGGTTGCGCAAATAACTATTTAGCTGATATTGGTGAAATAGTAATTTCTGCTTTGGCTTTAAGACATACAAACTTGGACGAATTAAACAATCGAATTAACGCTGTGAAATGTGTTTCATATTAATCTTACAAGCTACAGCGGCGAAATGTTTAAATACGTTTGGTAGGAAAAACTCCATTAAATCCTCACGACCCACTGATGTCGAATGGGGACTTACGGATAATCTACCTGACCAAAACCCTGTTTCCTATACACTTAGGCCACCGTTTGAAATACATACCGGTCAAGAGTGAATCACGCCGTGCACTTTTCCGCGGCTATAGTCAACTGGCTCGTAGATGAGATTAGTCAGTGTTTATTGCTACAACTGAAGTGTGCTATTCTTCCCGTATAAAATAATTACGAAAAATCTCTGTAGATGTCAACCGTATAACATTTCTTTTTTAATTCTAAGCCAACAGTATCATGATCGTAATAAAAATTAATGTTATCGTTTCGACGATATAATGGCAATCGAACCTAGTCCATGATCATTAACCAATTTTGAGTATACTCGTATGAATATGTACATCTGTATATATTTATATATACGTGTATATCATAATATCAGTCGTTATTCGTAATGTGTAATATCAATTTATTATGGTATTTGAAATTTCGTTTCAGCTAAAAAACAAAAAAAAAACTTCATTAAACGACATGCAAATATATTTGTTGAATTTTAATAGTAAATCAGAATGAGTAACACCGATATGATGGGGTAATTACTTCATAAATTAATAAAACGTGCAATTCATGATAAATATTATTTCGCATTCGATTGTCTATTATAAGTTATTACGATTGGTCGCAATGAAATCATTTTTTTTTTTTTTTTAATCGTATACATATCGATAATTAAATGACATAGCGAATGCCGAACAGTGTACATGCTATAAAAAATATTCAGGATATTATAATTATTATACTACAATTTTAACATTTCAATACAAATCATAATAAAATGTATAACCATTGATCTAGAATTATAATAATATTATAATACATATTTGTCATTATTTCCATAAATAATTTTCTTTTTGTAATTCACATTTTTTTAATACGGATAAATGTTTTGCTTTTCGATCCACTTAAGGTTAGTGCGATTTATATGGTTTCTAAATTCTTCAGGTCATTCTAATAATGGAAAACACATAAAAATAATTTCGTTTTGTGAACTTTTTTTAAAATAATTTTTGACGCACGAAGCTCGTACATTTTAGATTTAAAATCAATAGATTTTATGAGTTATATTATATGGTTTCTAGATGGTTTATGATTATATGACAGAGTATATTGTACAAAGAAATTCAACATTCGGTTGTAATTTTCAAGTGACCAAGTCTAACCTCTCTTTATATTAGTTTTAAAATTACTTCTTCGACTAAAACTAAAAAAAAAAAAGCCCGAGAATATTTAAAATGTATTGTAAAACTGATTTATTTTATTACAGAATATTCGTAGGGACTGCACAGTTCGTTAGGTACCTAGGTTGATAATAACTAATACACAGTCAATGATGAATCGGATTTGACCGGTGATGGAAAAGTACAATTTGGTTGAAAAAAACTCGTTACGAGTGTTCAGAGGGGGGGGACTAATTTGATTGTTTGCCTGTGCGATAAAATATCTACAGAGATGCCTTTCGGATGTGACTTATGCGTGTACATTAGCGAGTGACGAGTTCGGCAAAACGTTTGTTTATCGTCAGACGTGCATCAAAAAATCACGTCAAACATACACAATGTATGTTTTTTGGTGTACGGCACAACGCGGCCCATAAGACGTTTCCGTCGGGGTTGTTTGCTCATACTCGTGTAAAGTTTTTCTGGAGCGGACGCGAACACTCCTACGGTCGCGAGAACTTTTACTTTGCCGACAATTTTCGTACACGGGACACATGCACGGCGCTGCTAACACATACATACACGTACATAATACATTTATTACACGTACACGTGCACGTGTGTTCGGTCAATTGAAAAATAAATAAGCAATGGCATCGCGTCGGAGATTGTGCGTATACGACGAGGCCAACAGAGAAGCGTACAGCGGGGGGTAACACGGACTACGGTATTAGTCGGTTGTACTGTCGTCGTAGTACGGACGATGACCGTCCCTGGTGAAGAGTGTCGTCGTCGTCGTCGTCGTCGCCGTAGTCCGGTCCGCGGGGGTCCGTCCGCCGTTTTGCATATACGGCCGCCGCGGCCGTCGTACACACTACATTATACGCGATCGATACAGAGATTTAAAAAAATAAAACTAAAAAAAAAAAAAAAAAACGCCTCACCCCTACCCTGATGGCGCATCGCGTGGACTTTGGGCGCGCGCTCGAGGGGGGAAGGACGACGGGCGCGTTATATTATATTAGGCGACGGACACGGGCGCGCGCGTGCGAAACGCTCGGGCGGCGGTGACCGGTCGGCCATTGATTGAACCGAATTAATGTATAGAATATATTATTATGCGCGCGCGTGTGTGTGTGTGTGCGCTTCGGCGTTGTCGCGTAAGAGACCTCGCACGGTCGTCGTCGTCGTCGTCGTCGTGGACCGTCGTTGGTTGGCCGCGAGTGGACGGTGGTGGCGGCGGTCAGCTACGCCGCGGCGTGTGTAGAGACGACGAACCTGTACACGCACGCACGACCGACGGAGGGGTCGGATCGCGGCCGGGCGGTAACGGCGGCGTAAGGGGGATGAATATTATTCTCGGAAGCTATTCGCGTTTTCGGACGTTACACGTCCGTGTGCGAGTGTGC